TTGTTTTGAAAAGATAATCTTTCTATCATTTGTTGAAGATACAATGATAGTTTTAGGGCAGATTAAGAATGTCAATGTACAAAGGCAAAAGATTCTGAATGCTTTTGGACAGCATTAAACAAGCAAGAAGACAGATACGACAAAAGGTTCTAATACAATAGCATACAATTTCAACACAATTGGCAGAAAAAAAACCTATACCTTTGTCAGCTGGAGCTGGTGCATGACTATCTGCAACAATAAACACAGAGCCAAGTTGTCAAAATAGCACAACACTTGAGTATTGGAATATGATAACATGATGGGAACTAATCAATAAGTACCTTGTTTTCTTCATGTGTCCCTTTTGCTAATTCTTCTAGCACCCTGATTCTTGATAGATATTTCTCTTCACGGACCTTAATGAGATTATTTTGCTGCAGATAACCAACCATTAGAGAACTATAAAAGAGAACTGTTGAATGTCATGTGTCTCTTACATTTCTTATATGATCAGCTTGAGTTGAAATACGGCGTTCTATCTCTTGCACAACTCTCTTTAATAAGCATGCTACACGCTAAGGATGGAAGAAAAGAGAAGTGATTAAAACATCAAATCAGGAAAGTCAAACGATAGACTTGCAAGTAGAAGCACATGGGCCTTTAGAGTAAACCAATTATTTGCTCTTCCTGCAACATACATGAGGTATCTCCCCATTCCTCCTCTCAATACTTTCATCAAGGATCCCATTAATAATGCTTAAAAGTGATCGAGTTGGAGCATTCTGCATCCAAGGATGTGAGAAGAAAATTATGTGATATGCTAGCGGTCAATGATTCCACAATAGAGAATCAAACATTCTTTATGATTAGTATATCTGAAAAGCTTACATCTAAACAGTTCGATTTCAACATTTCTGAAATTTTAGCAGCTGAAAGATCAGAATAACGCCCCTGTCTCAATTGGAAAACTTCATGAAAGTTATGTCCAACATGATGTAGCAGAGCAGCTGATGACTCTACAAAATTATTCGGAGACTGTCAACATATGTTTATTACTTTCATTATTATCTGAAAAGAAGGAATGAAACAATGTCTAGACAACTATTATACAGCCAAAACATTTACCAATCAAGAAATGGCACAACCTATCATCCTTAAATTATAAAAAAACTACTGAAAAACATTATCATACTGTGTAATGTGTATATGGGTGCTCCCATGTGATGACCTTGTATGGCTTTAATGACAGTTTGAGAGATCTACAAGTAGCATATATAAGTTTGCTAATCGACAGTTGCTAATGGTAAGGAAGAATAGAAATAAATAGAAGTGAGACAGAAACTGGAGAGAATCGTTGCACAAATGAAATGCGCCAAGTACTTAAGCTTCCAGCATTAGAGATTAAAGTAACTCACAATTCCAGAAAAATGAAAATCCATGATCAACAGTAACAATTATAAAATGAAATCTCAAAGATTTCAGAAGACTAGGTGGATCATCTATCAAAAACAAACATACATAGGAGCTCTTTAGCACAAGTGGTGACTGCTAAACGTATTCCACCACCTAGATTTCACAATGCTATCCTTGTGCAGAGTAGAATGAGCACGTGCACCAACTTACATTAGATCTAGAAATCCAAACTCCTTGTGCAAAAGCTCAAATGGATACTAGACTATTTTCCTAGGCTATTTTCTATCCACTACAATCTTTATATTCCCTTTCCAACTTCAACAGGTAGTCAGTCCTCTTGGCATCATGAAGTCCCCAATCCAATGATAAGTTTTAATGGCCTTTAAACAACAAGAACAATTTAATAACGATTTGGGCAAGTTACCATTAACATAACAAACCTTCTGGAAGTTTCCACCTCTTTCTTAGCTGGATTGCAGATTTGTCCAAGTCAGGGTGGCCATCTTCCATGCTATCCAAGTTCAAATGATCTCTGACGGACAGAAGACACTCCACAACCGCAGAAATAGATCCCTGAAACAATAGGATGCATAGTAGCAACAAAATATGTACAAGAGTATCATGACCACATCAGATTAAGTCAACAGGAACATGAAATTTCACTCTCATCAAGCACAGTTTTCATGAGAGGACATGCTACGAGTTCAGGTCCCCTGTTTTTTTTCAAATCTGACAGAGATGTGCACTATTACCTGCTCTAGATCCACAATTCTGAAACTAGGCAAACACAGTTCATCCACAACCGAAATGAACTTCTTAATAGTAATCAACCTCTTCTCAGAAGGATCATAAGTACCTCGTGGACTCTGCAGTACAAGTTCAAATCAAAAATGGAGAACAAGCAATCACCATGAGGCACAAATATCTTTGTAAGATCATCATGCTTTAGAAGAGTTGCCATTTGCCATTGATTCATACCTCCGAGAAAAAAGGATTGATCCTGCCCAATATTCGACAAAGGACAGTCCCATCCAACAGCCTAGCTCTCAGTTCCTCATCCGAGGCATCTTCCGGCGCATTAAAATCCAGGAACAGACTATTCAGCCACCGAATTACATCTGATTGCTTCTTCCCTGAGCACGTAAAGAAACAGACTTTTCATTGTTTACCTACCTACACAGAATTTGTTCGGCCGATCACTAAAAAATTAAGAACTTACCTGCATTCCCTTCGGCATCCGCAGTTCCCATGCTATCTTTTGTCCTGTAATTCACTTCAAGGCTCATCAGACCAACTTGAGCACGACGCTTTTCATTTCACACCTTCTCATTCCACCTCAGTGCAACAACACGCCCGTGAATCCCTCCAAAAACACAAACCAAGACCCCAACTAACTCGAAAAAGATGTCACCCTTGGAGCAATGCTGCACTCCTGAGTCGAGATCTCATCAGGTAACGTCCTTTCCTTGTGGAAGAATGCGTACCCAGCCTAATAGGAAATTAGGGCACCGAGAAGAAACGAATCTGAGTCGGATCGGAAAAAGAAACGAAGCAAGATCCGAGAACACCCACAAACCTGGACCGGAGGCGGAACCGCAGCAGATTTAGCGTTCGGGGTCAGCTCCGAGCAGAGAGATTCGGTTTTCCGGGGAACGCCAGCCAGGTGGAAATTGTTGGGGGTTTCCTTGCTCGTTGAGGTGGGTATGGAGTGGAGAAATCTTGAAATAATTTATTACCGCTTTCCTCTCTCTCTCTCTCTCTCTCTCTCTCTCTCTCTCTCTCTTTATCTGCCTTCGTAACTTTTGTTTTATTTCGTCCTTGACGTGCGCCAACTCTCGGAGCTCCCTAGCTCTGCTTTCTCTTCTCCATCGCTTTCGCCTTTGGTCGCTTGACGGCGTTAGGTATCTCGACGGCGGGCCATTTCACCTCGTAAGGAAGAAACGTGACCGTCTATTCGATGAAACAGAACTTCCCGCACCCGGTGAAAATAAATGACGTCTCCTCACGGGACCCGCATCGGTCCCACTTCCATCTCTCCCGTTCTTTAACTTAGCGGTGCGGGTAACTGAGAAAAGGGTAAGAAAAGTTAATTTTTTTCTTTTTTAATTGAACTTCCATTTGAATGTTAAATTTAAGGCTTAAATTCTCTTTCAACTACGAAAACGCCACTACGTTTACCCGATGAACACCTTACCCGATACACCGTGCGTGCCTTGTGACGTCAGGCACCCTGCGGGGCGCGCGCTACCGTGGTCAAGAGGTAGGTAAGAAGTCGGGTAGCCCACGACTGGGTCGGCAAAGATTCGCTAAATCAGGTAAGGTCAGAGACGGCAAACGGGGTTTGACGGCGCTCGCCATTTGCGCGGATTCGTATTATTTAATCTCAATTCCTTTCCCGCCTTGCGGAGAGGTTTGGTGCGTCGGAGGGGTTCCGCCGCGTCAGCCGCATATTTGTCACGGGGAAGGACCCGAATCAGCTCTGAAACTCTTTCGGGGTGACGCGTGCTTCCGCGCTGTGAGAAGCTTCATTCATGACGTGGCTCGCCGACCCACTTGTGGAACCAGACACAAATCGGGAGCTCCAGCGTCAGCTGTCAAGGGTGACTCAGCCCGCCGAAGAGCTTTGTTCCTTCCCAGATACTTTTCGTCTCCGATCATGTGCATCACCTACCTGCCCGGTGGTGGCTCTACAGATGGGTACCACGTGGGGCCCACGGTGACTTCAAACACAAGGCACGCACGCACGCCCGCCCGCCCGCCGATACACTCGTGAACCGACCATTTCGACATACGTAATCAGGTCACTATATGGGTCGCCACATCGCTCCATCACATCAACCATCAAACTATGTACTCGACACCCTTAAATGGATCTCTAATGTTGGTCCACATTTCTAGAGACGAAGATAAGGTTAAAGGAATAACACCATAAGAATGGAGCCACAATACGACAGTGCCATCAATGAACCGATGATAACAGTAAGTGGAACAAGAACTTTCGTTTCCAGGGAAAAGTGTTGCCTAAAGATTGAAACCGTTGCGGTAAAATGATTCCAAAAGGAAAGAGCTACAAAGCAATTAATAATGCCTCTTGGACATTGACCTCAATGGAGAATTCAAAGGGAATGGGTAAGCAAATTTACCTGGCTGCAATACAAGATGATTGCTGCAGAGTTTACTACTGCAACATGACATTCCCTATTGCAGACGTACTTGATGAATGGAGTTTTAATCAAAGAAGCTGTGAGAATCTTGGTGATCATTTTAAAGCCTGAGCACCCAACTTGAACACGTTGTATATCCTCAAGTACAGCTATATTTAACACATCACTTCCAACCAAATCATGCTTCTGTTAAATGCTTACATGGGTCACAGATGAATTTAGAGTTGGCAAGTGCAGGGAATGTAAACTCAGGCGAAGTTTAACTAATTCGTTATGAAATATTCCAAACAGATGAACATTAGAAGCACCAGACAATAAAGTCAGAAATTATGGGTGGAATTCATGGATACCAATACATGAAACTTCGTCCTCAATTAAAAGTTCAAGAAATGTTCAGAAGTAGCAACAGACTAGTCATACCTGGCACCAAATCCTTTGTGCTGAACCATGAATCTATATCCTGATTTGATTCCAAAACAGATCCTGGAAACAGTATCAGCATCCTTACAATTAAGTTTACTATGTCAACAGTCATCTGTACAACATCATAGTAGAACAAAATGATTTTAGGAAGATTAACCAAAAAAAAAAACTCAAGTATCTTTGCAAACAACTTTAGGCGCCCACTTATCAGATTTTCAGAGCTGTTGAGATGAAGCCCTCGAATTCTTTAATGGATGATGAAGCAACTTATGCTACATTGAAAAGAGCAAAAAAACACCAAGTTGTTGGATAAATGGAGAAAGATTGATAATGCAGAATCAAGAACAGATGCAAGAGTAAAGAAAAGAGAGAATTTGAATGCCCGTTACATATTGAGTTGCACAACCAAATATCTGAAGTCATATGACAAGTTAGAAAATCATATAAAGGATTCTCATCATCCTTGACTGAGAAGACTATATAGTCCAAACATACAGAAAATGCAGCCTAAAAAAACTGTTGTATAAGAGCAAAGAAGAAAAGACAACTTTTTTGTGCTGTTTCTTCTACAGTATATTTTGTGTTGAATTAAGTGTAGACATATCCCAATAGCTTGCAATAATACAAAAACCATTGAATAGCTAACTGATGAACATCTCCAGAAGAGGAGGGGAAAAAACTCGTGGTAGCCTACAAGAACATGACCATAGTGATTAACTTCTAGTTATACCCCATCCTACTTTAAAAGCATTCAAACACAGTCTAATAACTCATAGGAATCAGTCTAATCAGAGGAATCTAGGAGCCTTACATGGCACAAGAATAGACAACTTAGTTCAGAAAATCTCAATTTGTCACACTTAGATGTTCAGCTTTCGCTCACATTCCAAAGATGAAGTGAAATCAGACCTTCTATATCTGGGAACAATTGCTGCATTTGAGGACAGACTTGGAACAATAGTAAGGTTGCTCTTTTGGAGACCAGGATTTGTTTCATAAAAATTCTCTCTCTAAATAAAACTGTGCATGCATTGAGTACATCCTCAATAATTACTGCATTTTAGTGTGTGTTTGAGGATTGAGACATTACTAACTCTATATTCTTGAAGGCAATACACTAAAAATACAGATTTACCATGATATCCAAGTTACACTTTTTTTTCAGTCCTTCACGTCATAGTGTACCTACAAAACAAAAAGATTCAAAGCTTGGATGATGGTTTTCTTAGTATCTATACCTCCAGGATAAAGATAAACTATAAATGGCTTTTATCACGTGTCCTTAATTCATTTGCTCCATGAATGGAGCAAATGTTCACCCATACAACTGTTTAGGAATAGAATCATTCTTTTTCAATTTTGTCTTGTACCAATGTTGCTTTCAACCAGTGTCATCATTTTGAGATACCAATGTTGCTGTCATAAATAAGATCTATCAGTGAAAGGCAACAATAACTTGTGACGGCTACTCTAACCCTTTTGGGACCATTAAAAAACTGAAATTGTGTCCAGTTGGCATGTTGCATCAAGTTCAGGTCAGTCACATGCTTCCTTGCTGGTAGTGTACCAGACAACCAAATCTTAATTCTAAAAATAAAGCAGAACTACTTGTCTTAGCCTGTCAACTAGACCTCAATTGTTTGACCAAACATATATATATATATATATATATATATATATATATATATATATATATATATATATATATATATATATATATATACACACACACACAGGCCAGTTTTGTGCAACAAGAACTGCTGACTCATTCGGGCCAACTTGGGTAGGGTCAGCCACCCCAACATGTCCCAAGTGCCTCAGTCAAATCTGACTTGATTTTCTGACAACTCTTGATTCAGGTTCTATGCCACGAGGAGAATCATGTGCTGTTAAAAGAAAAAGGTGGAGAATAAGCTATTCTATCAAAAAAGGGAACATTTTAGGCATAAAGCTATAATACGCCTTAAGTAAATGAATTCCATCCAACTGAGACTGCATAAGACAGGATTAGCATTTAGATGCCACATATCACTATTTTTCCAGCTTAACTATCTGCTCACATATAATTCCAACATGAAAATTAGAAGTTCCATTTTCTGGAATCCAACTTGTTCAAAACAAGCCATAAATGCAGGAAAAAGAAAAGCATGAGTGATGGTGAATATTCAATCAATTCATTAGAGAGGAAAATGAGACATTACGCTAGTACATGAGGAACTCAAAATAATAATCAGAAAATGATTTCAATGACAAAGTTATACAATTACATATGCTGTCTTTTCAGCCGCCAACTTAAGTATTCGGCTAAGAGCAAAAGAAATACAACCAAACGAATGTCATAACAACAAGCATACAAAAATATGCAAAAGTTCAGCAATTAAATTTTGACAAGACAAAGGTAACATGTAGGAATAATTTAACAAGTTAGAAAATCATATCGTTCAAAAAAGCCTTGCTGTATGCATCTAAATCTTCAACAGCTGACCCTAATTTTTCATTTACAAGAATGTCCAAAATTCAAATATGTTGGTAACAATAATCTCCTAATAGTATCCAGAAAAACAATGGTAACATGGTACTAATGCATGCTTCAAGTAAAGATATAAATATCAGGATAAGCAATAACTGTTTCACAGCATATTAACTCTGAAACTCCTGCATAAGTTAACCACAAAAACCAATATTCATAACCTCAAAAGACCTGCAGCTTGTACATGATTTTGGATACTGATAAACTAATTTATAATGCACTCAACATTGAAGACTGAAGATACTAATCACACCAAATGAAAGAACAAATTGCTTTGGATATCACAGCTGGACCTTAGGGGTTCAAAAAGTTGTAATCTAGAACCGGCAAAACGGAAAGCAGATACTCAGCCTGCAACTCCTCCAAGTTACATCTAATCACTTGAAAGTTGAAACTATATCCCGCATATTAAAATTTGTCCCACTGAATGGAAAACATGCGAATTGACTCCAACATGTGATGCACATTTGTAACCATATAAGATAGACAAGCAACAGTTGATAAACCATCACTCACTCATATTAGGGCACCAAAGAACTTGTACAGAAAAAGAAGCTATCGTAAGAAAATGAAAACCATGAAATTTCCAGATAAGCATGTCAAGATTTTCAAATTTGAACTATAGTACATGTCATTTGATCTCTGATACACGACTTTAGAGAAAAACCAAATTTTAGGATGTCTTTGATAACACTTCTAAGAACAGTCTATGTTGACATGAGAGTATCTTATTTCATATACCCAATTCAAAAATATATATAGCCAACCAAAAATAATAAACACTAAGAAAGCAAACCAAAAGAAGCACAAAATCTTATAGTAAATGGTCACGTTTAGTAGATGGTTAACTTTCTAGTAAAGCTAAAAGTACTCACCAAGAGAACATTTATCAACTATACAAGCTTAAAATAACTAATGCCCACCATCAAATCTATTTTGATAGCTCAGCAAGGGCAACTTCATAATGTGACATTGATGTGGCACCAATGTGTTAGCTGTCACCAATACCAGAGATAAAAGGTGCCTTAGCGTATGCCTAACAGCATCATAGCCTCAGGAAAACAATGTGATATAGCTGTTCTCTGAGCAAAGTCCTGAGTATTCCAACAGAAGATAGACAACTTCATGAAACTGTGCGACCATAACAAACAGATGCAATATAAAGATTTTTGGCCCACTTCTCCTAAAAGCAAATTATACAAACATTAATTAGCAAAAAAAATAATGCAAGCGATCTTTAGACACAAAAAAGGGCACCCACCTTCACATGCTGACTAGGAAAAGCAGATGTTCTAAGTGTCTCTTGTGTTTCATCTACTGGTTTTCTTCGAGGAACACTAAGTACAAAGGCAGCTTGGTCCCATGTTGCAGCAGTTGCAGTTATACGATAACCATTATCCCATCTTCGATGAATGCCTTCGCAAGGGTAAAGGAAGTCAATTTCAACAACCTAAATAAGGAGAACAATACATTAAGCTGAATGCCTTTTGTATCCAAAATTATGTGATTGGAGTATGTAACAACTAATTACTCGATACCGGGGTTTTTAGTACCATTTCGTGCTGCCCATACTGAGTAATACGTACTGGTCCGCCAGCTGACCAGCACGCAGACCGCCCGCTACCGAGCGGTATCAGGTATTTGGCTGTGGCGAGATGAGGCGAGGAAGAAGAGAGCATTCGAAGAAAAGGGAGAAGCAGAAAAGCATCGAGAAAGAGGACCGCGGAGTCACCGATACGCCGTCACCAACGTCTCGATGAACTTGAGTCCGTCAAACCTCGACGCGAACTTGTCTTCCACACCCTTTCTTGATCCTGATCCGACGCTGCCCTCCCTCGACAATCCCAATCTAAGAGGTAATGACGAGGAGAGTCATACCTCTTTGGAGGAGGAGCTAGAGGCGTGGGGATCGAGGGAGGTGGCACTGCGATAGCGAGAGCAACGGAAGAGGCGGCCGCGAGGAAGGCAGTGAAGACCCCGGCCTTCTTCATCTCCGAACGGTCTCCTTCGTGCACTGTCGCCGCACGAAGAACCTTCCGATGCCGTCTTTCTTCTCCCCACCTCCTTGACGTCAAAAGTCGTAATCAAGGCGACGACGATGAGGCCAAAATTGATTTTATTTTTTTTTTAAGGCATACCGCTTGGTACCCCGTACCGTACCATTCTGAGCAAAGCTCGATACACTGATGCGGTACGAAACTAAAAACCTTGCACGATACAATTCATTAGCTACGACAAAAGGTAAACGAAAATGACTCTATAGGAAAGTTCTCCTTTACTTTCCTATTATGTGGCTCTCATTCCCCCTTATATTTACAAGTAAAAGGAAAATAAAAATGACCTAATCTGAGAAGCCCGCATTACGAGACATGACAACAGCCCATCTAATTCCAGCTGTTGCCATTGCAGTGACATAAAACCTTCCCGCCATTTTTTGTTTATCCACTTGAAAGGAAATGATTCGCTAACTTTGTAAGATTGTTGTGAATATGGTGTACCTGCAATTTAATCAACATAGACAGATCACCAGTTAAAATAAGTTTGAAGTCCAAAGTGAACATAATACACACTAAGAAGGTTACCTTTGGACATTATGACCAAGGAGCTACCATTATTTGCACCTGCTAGTGCAGAAATATAATAATCTTTCTCCCATTGTTCCATTATCCATTCCTTCAAACAAAAAAAAAGGTACAGAGGTATCAATATTCTATAAATTATTGACTTCAATGTCTACATCAAATATTGGAGGATCGTAGTTAGAAAAGATGCAGAGTGATCAACACATATGTACTCACTTTATGGAGAAAATTTGCAGATAGTTCATAAACCTGAGCGGTAAACCCAGTGCCTGCATCCATAATCAGGGCCCAAAGATTTGAACAAGATGCTACACAACTGATGAATAAACCGTCTTCATTTCCTTTCTCAATATGTTGTGCAAGTCTCACATCAGCAACATTGTAGTGGTACCTACAACATCTTACAGAGATAAGCAATTCCTCCTATCTGATAATGTTATCAAAGAAATATGTATTTTAGAGAACAAGAACCTTTGCTTCATGGGTCTTCATGCATTATAAACACTGATCCACTGTGTAGCAGGCATTCCCATCCGAATCTTCTTTTTTGATTGCTCATCATCCTCTTCATCCATCATTAGACGGCCTCTCTTTTGACCCACCTGATATAGAAGCTTACAACATGCAAACACTTTTAGATTAATATTATAATTTGGAAGAATAACTGCATCTATCAAAGAAGACAAACAGATGGCATACCTTTTGAGCTCCATCAGTGTTGATTGGCCTAATATCTGGACTAGGACCTACTATGCCATCAAAAAGAGAGATGCACTTTGCATAGTTAGGTTCTTCATCAAATTTCAAATTCACCACATACTCAACAAATTGTTTGAACGGTAGCGGGCAAAAGCAACAAAGAGCCTCTGAAGATGTAGCCATCTTCTTCTTGCAGACGTGGAAACCTTTGTTTTCTCCCTACCAGTAGAACAAAAACAAGGTATGAGACAAGAAAATGAAAGTCTAAGCGACTTCTTCAACCAACAAGGCACAGAGTCAATTACAACTCCAAGTGACTATACCTGATACCCTTGCCAAGGTAGACAACCGCGGAGTAGAAAGACTAGAGTATAAGCAAGGGATTCTATATCATCTCTCCGGCTTGCCGTCCTCCCAAGGTGAGCATGAACACTAGCATAGCGCACTGTCCCCCTGCCATAAACAACCAAAACATAATAACTTTACTGGGAGAAAATCAGTTATATAATGTGCCATACATGAGCCTTCTTTAATAGTTTTGTTGATAAGTAATCGGCAGTGTACCTGAAAACATCTGGTCGTTGATCATATTCAATATGCAGACTTGTCGAACTGTCTTTCCACTTAGTTGCTGTCAGATAACATGCTAAGAATTTAATAAGATGTACTATGTGATAAAATTTACTGGAACACAATGAGAATAATCCATTCATGAGCCAAATGCGTCTTAAAATTACCTAACTCAAGATCAACAAGAAAGAGTTTCTTCTCTTCAGAAGTTCCAGGAGGCCCAAGCAAGAAATTCTCAGGTTTCACATCCCCATGCACATAACTGATGTCAACAATAGCAAATAATTGTCAAAAGATGACATAGAGTGGGATAGCACAATGCTCATAGTAACTATACGATTAATGATTTTCCAACACATAAATAGACTAAATAAATTGGAAAGCAACCAATATATTTCTACCCACCCTTTTGAATGCATCTTCTCCAATATGGAGAGTGCTTCAATGGCAATACATGCAACCATTTCCACGGACATTCTGCATAAATCAGGAGATAGAAGTTATCATGTTATGAATTTTCAGAATATTATCCTACCAACAAAAATTTAATTCAGAACTTACGTATGTGAGTTGTTATTCCAGACATCCCATAGACTAGGTCCCAGCATATCCATAATCTGCAAATTTTATGTTATGTAATTATGCAAACATTTTAAACTACTAGAACAACTTAAAGTAAGGATAGCCACAAAAATTCTCATGTACCATAACATAATAGTCCCCTTGGCGGCCCTTGTAATGGACTCGTGGCATCCCATGTATACCACCAAGAGTGCTACAAAAAATAAAAGATAATATTGGTCACAGAGTTAAAAAATGTGATTTCCTCTAGAAAAGTTCATCACTGAAAGTCTGAAACTTACTTGTAAACCTGCCATTCATAAGGTGGACCATAATTACATCCCTTACTGTTCCTATGTTCAAACTTTAATGCTACCTGTCATTAAGTCATTGCATATTATGTTAAGAATACTTATTAAAGATCATTAATTGTGATTGTAAAAAATTTCCACACTTTACGGCATTAGAACCAGTAGTCGTATCATTTGCATTGGTAGGTGAAATATGGCGACCAACATAAACTTGCCCAAATCCTCCTTTGCCTAGCTTCCTTTCAACTTTGTATACTGGTGAATTGCTGACTTGAACCTGTAGGAAAGATAAGTCAATCTCTATAAATATACAAACTGTTGGAGTAAACTGTAGCAGAAACAAGAAATGATGCAAAATAGCTCTGTTACTGCAATAAAAAGGTAATTCCCTCATAAAAAAATATTGTCTCATGCGACATTGCTGACTTCATATGAAATGCTAGTGATAATTTACTCTAAACTGTAAAACCAAAAGTACAATTAGATGACATATATTGCACTTACGATAAAAATAAGAGAAGGTAGCCCAGTACGTAATCCCATCATTGTGGGGCCTGACGATAACTAACACTACAAATTAGGATAACAATGTAACTAAGAAAGATTTCATGATACAGCTTTTGATTGGAATTAAATATAAGTTGCTTCTATTATGATAATATAACTACTATAAATCAGTTTTCGCCCATCAAACACAAGAACGTATCGTCTATACAAAGTACAAAGTGTCTCTTGCTTCTTCTTTTTTTTGCTTTTGTAAATGATGTTCCTAGCACAGTGGCAGCAAGAAAACTTAAAATTGCATTAAACCTGAGCAACTCATTTTTCATTCAATTTGTCAATGAGCTAGCATGATTTCCCCCCGCCCCCCACAGACATCTCAGAAATATCCGAAGAAACCCATCTGTTAAAACATGAGTTCTCCAAGATCAGGAAGAATCAGAAAATGCAATCAACAAGAATTCAGCAACTCATTAACTGCATCAAGGTGCAGGATCTTTCATATTACTCATATTAAGATTTTTTTTTTTCTGTTTTGAATGCTACCTAACACTTGCCTGACACATCTGAAGACTGAATTTATTGGCCACAAACTACTGAATACACGTCACAGCAATGAAAAATGAGTACCTCAAAAGAAAGGAAAACAAAATGGCACATGCTCTTTATGTGGATTCATTTAACCCTTGAAAGTAGAGGTAGTTCCTGACAAGAAAGAAGAGAAACAGAATATAAATGTTGAACTCCAGATTAACCTCAGGAGAGAAGATCTTAAACAATTTTCTGATTTATTTACAAAATAAATTTACATAACAAAAAATTCTGATCAACTTCTTATCAAATATATACCACGGACATGTTAGCCTAAAGGCCAGTAACTGCAGTTTGCTGCAAGTTTAGTTCAGAATATCACAATATGAATTACAGGACATAGTGAAATAGCATATATCGTGTGACCCGAATCATGCAATATGTAAGTAATTGAATCCATTGCAATTTTTCATCCACATGTTAAGCTAAATTCAACATGGAATATGATAAATGACACATCTCACTACTGACAATTAGATGATGACATGCATGGAGTTCAATAATTTATACATTTACCAATATCATAGCCATGACTTATATGACAAGTTGATACTGATTAGCAAATAGTCAGGGCTGCACAGCATAACAATTAACTATCCAAAGTATCTTACTTCATAGAACAGTATTTTGCTTTTACTTATTTTCTCCAACCCTACTCATATAACCACAGTGTTAGTTTCTTCCTAAATAATCCCAGACTAATTTTGTACAATGTCCCATTATTACCTAGCTTTATGCACAGATGAAAAATCTAGAAATGGTATGCTTGTACAGATAGCTGTCCCATACAAGTATTTCCAACTTTTTTTCTGAACCTGACAGGGCAATTTCAAATCTCAGTAGTGCCAATAAAGAGAGTGGTTGCATGAATAAATAAAACCATCCGATGCACAGATAAATTACAAAAATCCATGGAAAAAAATCTATGATCAGCGCTCAGTGAACACAGAAAAAACTTTCTAAATAGCCAAAATCTCATCTGCTTAGTACCAAATCTAAAGAAGTTAACGCAATGGAGATTATGTTTCGCAAAATTATCAGTAAACTTGATCAGATTAGTTGCTCTCTTTCAACATAAACTGATTGAAAATCAACAAAAGAAAGACAAAAATCTCATCTGCTTAGTACCAAATCTAAAGAAGCTAACGCAATGGAGATTGTTTTTCATAAAAATGACGATGAAATTAATCAGATTAGTTGTTTTCTTTCAACATAAACTGATTGAAAAGCAAGAAAAGAAAACCAAAATCTCATCTGCTTAGTGCCAAATCTAAAGAAGCGAACGCAACGGAGATTATTTTTTATAAAACTATGGGCAAACTTGATCAAAACAGTTGCACTCTTTCAATATAAACTGATTCAAAAGTAAGAAACGAAACCAAAACCACATAACTTGAATGTCACCAGACTAATCGACAGAAAACCAGCAAAACCTCATAACCACCGGCGCAAAAGAAGCAAATGTCTCACCTTTTCTGGGAGAGGGGCCGTGCTCGTCTCGTCCTCCCCACCAGGGAGCTTATCTGGGCTCGTCGCCCCACGATCGTAGTCATTCATCTTCCTCTCCCCGACCTCTTCCAGTTTCTCCTCCCCACCCAAACCTCTAACCTCGCCGCGGTCCTCTACTAAACCAATCTCCTCCCTCCGCTCGGGGGACCTCGTCGCCGGCGGGTTCTGGCCCACCGGCTGCTGGTTCCTCGCCGCCCGACTCCGCCTGGTGCTCGGCCGCTCAGCCTGGACCACCGGATTCGCCTGCGCCCGGCCCCTGCACACTCCGCTGCACAGCTCCGGAATCCTTCATCGACCCGACCCCAAACCCTATATATCTTGGACCAATTCAACCGCAGCTCGAAGAGGAAGAAGAGTACGAGCCCTAACAGCCTGGAGCGACGACGGAAGGAGCGCCCTATCGCGCTTGGAGTCTGCGTTGGATCGATGATTCGAGGGAAAGGATATGGGATCGGGCGTCGTGTCGGAGGAGAATCGGAAGCAGGGGGGTTTCGACGCGGGGGAAAGTGGAGCTACTCGCTGAGCACACACAGGTGGTGGGTATTTTTGCCGGAACGGGAATAAAATATCGGGTTACTGTCTCGGATTGAATGGAAATTTGCCCGTGACAGGTTAACCCGACCCAAACCGGAGATTGCCCATTTCGGGATGGCAAACGGACAGTTTTTCTGTAGGAAAGTAATCAGTTACTTTTGGCCGATAAAGATTATGATCGGTTGATAATAAAATATTGAAATCATTTACTCCTGACAAAAGAAAAAAAAATTGATATATGAAATTTGTAGCGTTAATGATGACAACATTAATATCTAAAAAAATCATTCCCCAATAAATATCTTTTCGATTTTTAAATTTAAAATTCAGATTATTCAAAATAAATTCTTATATTATTTTTTCGGTGTTTAGTGAATGCAGGAGCCTTTTTACAATGGGTTTTTATGATCATTACTCTTATCCTAATCATCAGAATAGTTTTATAGTACTCATAGGCTGGCTTAATTACGATCGTGATATCATGACATATCAAATTTGGTATATAATAACAAAGTGACCGACTTACTATGATATCACCAATATTTAACTATATGATTATGAGGTATCGAATGTGTGTTGAACACGTGAGTTATTGACCATGGGAGAATCATTGAGATATTAAGTTATCAGCCACCTAATGTCCAGAGGTGGAGCCACATGTCAATTCCTATTACAGTGTTAAATTTTTTTTTTTTTTTCTCCACGGTGAGAAGTAGACAAAAACTGGTTGCAACTGACGTGTTTTTCTTGAGGAATACTTGTACCAAACCAAATAGCATGTTTAGGCGTATTTTTGAGGTCATTTCTTCGATTGTTTTTAGTTACATTTAATGTATTTCTTAATTTAATTGAACTCAGATTTATTTGTTTTCTCTAAAGTTTGTATGCATTTGACTGTAAAATTAAATACCTAGTTAGTCAATGTTGAATCTCGGATTTTGACGATGAAGTCAATTATCATTTGTTGATCTAATTTATATGTTGAAAAAAGTATGCAGGATTAACTACGATGGCATTAAAACATGCAGCATGTGTTATGCTAGAGTCAATACCAAGATCATATTGGGAGTTCGAGAGTTCGTCGGAAGTCCGAATGTTCATCGGAAGTTCTACGGGAACCAACCGAGAAGTCCAAGAGCTTACCATAGAAGCTCATCAGAACTCGTCAAGAAGATCGTTACAAAGTCCAGGAGCTTATCGGGAGTCCACCGGAGCATCACCGAGAGTTCGTCGAATATTCGCTAGAAGTACGCCGGAAGCTCGTCGAAAGAAGCGATTGACGCACCGGAACATGAATTGTAGTAATGATGGCTTAATTATCATAGTTATAGTGTAGATTAAGTTAGGATTGGAAGGTAATCCCATTAACTTAAACAGGAGCCAACTGGACCCTTAACAGACCCAAATTGGGTCGAATGGAACATCCCATTCGGTCCTTGAAATCTTGGCCGACGGTGGTACCGCTTGGGAGATTCAGTCTCCCAAGATTTCTGGGCGGTGGTACCGCCCCTGTCAGGAGGTGGTACCACCGGCAGTTATTGCCGCCAGCGGTGATACCGCCCTTGTCAGGCGATAGTATCACCAGAGCTCGGTCTTCGAGCACTGTCAGGCGGTAGTACCGCCCAATGCCCGATGATAGGCGATAGTACTGCCCAGTAATGGCGGTGGTATCGTTAGGACCCCAGAAATCTAGGAATGGACACTTTTAGGCTCCATTTTTGAACTCATTGGGGCCTATAAAGACCCCACTCTTTCATGCATGAAAGGGCAACAAAAACTTAACATTATCTTAAGTTTTTGAGGCAAGTGTTGTAAAAGCTAGAGTTTTCCTCCTTCTTTCTAAGTGTTGAGATCATTCAAGAGAGGAGTGAAACTTATAAGAGTTGTCTCCTAAGCCCGGTAAAAGGAGAAAAGCTGTAAAAAGGTGGTTAGCCTCGCCTATTGAAGGAAGGCCTCTAGTGGACGCCGGTGACCTCATCGGAGGAGGAAGCCGATAGTGAATGTAGGTCACGTCGACGAACCACTCTAAAAACTCGGTTTGCATTTACTTTTAGTAACTTTCCTTTATAGCGAACTGTCTCTCCTCTTTACTGTGCCTTAACTATGTCTACTTACGCTTTGACGTAAACATTTTCCGAGATCGACTTTAATCGTATAAAGACCTTACAAAACTGACGCTTTTCATTTGTGTACTTTACTTTGCTGCAAATCACCTTAGTCTTTTCTTTCTCTTTCACGAAAGGTTTCAAGTTCAAAGTTCTTCTGAAAAGGATTAAGTTGAAACCATTCTTGTTAAATCGGCTTTAATCGAAATAAGTTTATTGAAATCATAAAATTTTTCGCTGCACTAATTTACCCCCCCCCCCCACCTCCTCTTAGTGTGCTATTAATCCTAACAATTGGTATCAGAGCGAGGTTCATTCTCAGTTGGATTAAAACCCAAGAGAGATGGCATTTGCCAAAAACCAAGATGGTCACTCAATTACACGTCCGCCCATGTTAATGGGATGGATTACACGTATTGGAAGACTAGAATGAGAATCTTCCTAATTTCTATGGATTTTGAGCTTTGAAATATTGTAGAAAATGAATTTCAAAAATCTTCTCTTCCAATGATCGATTGGAATGAATTGGAGAAGGAGACTTTCGCTTTAAATGCCAAGGCTATGAATGTCTTATTTTGTGCTCTCGATAAAAACGAGTTCAATCGAGTTTCGATTTGTGAAACAACTTTTGATATTAAGCACACACTCGAAGTCACTCACGAAGGCACTAGTAGAGTGAAAGAGTCAAAAATCAACATTTTTGTACATTCTTATGAATTATTTCGAATAAAACCGAGTGAGACCATTGGAGACATGTACACCCGTTTTACGGATGTCGTTAATGGTCTAAAATGACTTAGTAAAAGTTTTTCGGATTTTGAGCTCGTTAATAAAATTTTAAGATCCCTTCCAAAGAGTTTGGATCCTAAAGTCACGGCCATTCAAGAGGCCAAAGATTTAAATAACTTTCCTCTTGAAGAACTAATTGGGTCGCTAATGATATATGAAATGACTTGCAAAGCTCATGAAGAGTATGAGGACACCCTTCCAATATGGTACTAAGAACACAAGAAGACCACTTGAGAGAAAACTCAAATGATGAGGACTTTGATGATGACTTGGCACTTTTAACAAAGAAATTCAAAAAAATTATTAAAAGAAACAAATTTAAAAACGACACTAAAAATAAATTTGAACCCAAGAAAGATATTTAATTTGCTACGAATGCAAGAAGCCAGGACACTACAAGAGTGAATGTCGCCAAGCCAAGAAGAGGACACCGAAAGCAGTTAAAAGAATACCTAGATATCTTAAAGGAACCATAAATCTAGGATTATGGTATCCAAAATCCGAGAATTTTGAGCTAATTGCTTATGCTGATGCGGATTTTGCTGGATGTAGACTAGATAGAAAAAACACATCAGGAATATGTCAATTTTTGAGACATGCACTTATTTCTTGGTTATCTAAGAAATAAAACTTGGTTGCACTATCTACAACCGAAGCTGAATACATTGCAGCTAGTGCATATTGTGCACAAGTTGTGTGGATGAAAAACACTTTAGAGGACTATAAGATCCATCTTAAAAATATCCCCATAAAATATGATAACACAAATATAATATGTTTAACAAAGAATCCGATTCAATACTCCAGAACAAAACATATTGATATTAGACATCACTTTATACGAGATCATGTCACTAATCATGATGTAATCATAGAGTTTATTGATACTAAATATCAATTAGCTGATATTTTTATAAAATCTTTATATGAAGAACAATTTGATTTTATTAGAAGAGAATTATGAATGTTGATTTATACGAATGCATGAATTTGTTTTCGGACTTTCTTGATTCTTTGATTACTCACTTAAATTCGATACTGAAAATTTTATGATACGAATTTTACATGATGATAAGATTGTGTACTTCAATAATATGTTTACTTTAATGTTGAAAATTTTGTGCCTTGATGCTAAAAGTTTCAATGATGATGAGTATTTTATACTTTTATGATTGTGATTTGAGAAGTTTTAATTATAGATCGGATTCTCAATCCTTGAGCACTATAAAGCACTAATGTTTTTGCCTCATGTAAGTAGTGATAAAAAGATGTGACAAAACATTGTCCGAATGCATGATTTTGTTATATTTTTCTTCCGGACTTAATGTATTTCTTGAATGGAATTTTCATGAGTCTATGCCATATCAAATTTATTTCATATCCATACTCTATCACTTAATGATTTTTAATCGATGGAATTAATTGACAAATGTATCTCTCATGGATTTATTGTTTGTGAATTTTAATTGAGAAATAGATTTGATATAATGATTCTTTCACATGAATTCCTTCTTGATGGAGGAAGAATATTTTGAGATGAACACTTGCAAGGATTTAATTTCATAGGTATATTTTGATCCTTGTGAAAAATGAAGCATGATTTAATGAAAATCTCTTATCATTTTTAACTTCATTCAAAGTTGGTTTTCAATGGCTTTTCCTCCTTACTTTCCTCTTTCATGCAAATCTTTGATGATAAAAAAAAAGGTACAAGTAATAAAAGCTATTTATTTAATGTAAAAACTTTTGGATGATACTATATCACGAATGCTTCAAATATGATTGGTATGATTTTTTTATGACATGAATTTTTACCACACGTGAATTTATTGTTGAATCATTCTCCTTTTTGTTGATGACAAAGGGAGAGAAATATATGATAAATTGATGATAAATATATATAATTTTACACTTGAAATGTTTGCATTATGATAAGATATATAGAGCTTAATTTGAAATATTATAAATTGATATCTTGTTATAGAATGAATTGCTATGATTGTTATCCTTCATATTTGAAATATAAGACTTAAAAATAGATGTCATGCCTTGACATCATTTTCAGAAAGTTACATCATGATAGGAATCATGATGGGTATATTGATAAGTTT